AATCTAAATTTGGATTCCTTAGCATAATCTTCTATATTATAAAGGGGTTTTATTTTATCTATGCTATTAAAGTGTTTTGGTAGATTTGAAGTTCTACCGAAAACTAGCTCATATGGACAATAGTCATGTGCCATAGATGGGGTTGTATTAAAACAATAGACGAAGTATCGTAGCCATACATCCCAATCTGTTTTGTCAACTGAGATGATTGAACGAATGAACTCATTGAGTGTTCTGTGGCTTCGCTCCACGGTACCTACAGTCTGGTGGTGGTGTGCAGTTGAAGTTATGTTTTTAATATGTAAGTATTTACATAGATCTTCAATAATTGAATTTTTATATTCTGTTCCCATGTCCGTAATGAACGTCTTCATTGGACCGTACTTTAGAAGTACTTTAGCTTTTGCTACTGTATTTGCACTTTTATTTGGTATAGGTATAGCTACTAGGTATTTAGTTAAATCGCAGATGAGTGTTACTGCGTATTCGTTTCCATTATTAGATTTTGGAAGTACCCAAAAGTATCTACAATTACTATATCAAAAGCTCTTTGTGGAGTTTCGGTTATAGTTAGTGGGGTCTTAGTATGTTTAGTCGTTTTCGACTTTTGGCATTTAGGACATTTCTTTATGTACTCTTTATGTCTTTGGACATATTTTTCCAGTAATAGTATCTCTGGACCTTGGCCAATGGTTTTGTAATGCCTTTATGACCACCTTGTATTGGATCATCATGGAATGTAGACAATATAGCTTCTTTTTCTTTATTATTTTTGATTACGGTCACCGGGTTGAGTAGCGCTACTCTCAATGATTTCAATATATTATTGCCCATCATTTTAAAATTATCAATTGAAACATGTTCAAAGATATTTTCCCATGGTGCCACTTTGAGTTGGCTGACTTTGTGAATACCGGCCTGCTTTTCAAGCCTTTGAAAGAATTGACCTAAGTCAATGGTTCCATTAGTATACAAATCGCTAACATCATAACTTGCTGTAATTTTCTTTCCGTGCTTAAATAAACACATTTTATTATTTACATGCAAGGTCACTACTTTACTACTTTACTACTTTATTAATGACTTCATATACGTTGGGCTTTGAAGCTTTTTCTATAGATTGCTTATGCAATTCTATTTGATCTTTTCCTGCGCAGGATTTCTGTCTACTTTGGTTTCTGGTAGTGACTTTCAGAATTTTATTGCTTGTTTGTATATTTGTTAGATCTGTGATGGTTATTCTAGAGAGCGCAAAAATTAATTCCTCCAATTCAAGTCTCATTCGTGTTAGTTTGGAACTGGGATTTACCATTGAAAATAAGTATGTAAGTGCTCTATGGTCTGTTTTGACAGTGAAGTGTCTACCATAAATATATGGTCTGAAGTGTGTTATTGCCCAATGAATGGATGCTTATTCTTGTTCTGTAGTGCTCTTGTTGCTTTCACCTTTCGTAAATGATCTTGATGCGTATGCCACTGGAAGCTGTAGTCCATTTTTGTTTTGAGTTAGGACTGCTCCATAAGCGTATTTGCTAGCATCTGTCATTATGCAAAATTCTTTGCTAAAATCTGGGTATTGCAACAGAGTGGGATTTATTAATGCTGATTTAAGATGTTCGAAGGCGTTTTGACATTGTGTTGTCCATTCGAATTTTACATCTTTCTTTACATAATCTTGTTATGTGACGGGAGTATTCAGCAAAATTCTTTATAAAACGTCGGTAAGAATTGCAAAATGCAATGAATCTTCTAGCGCTGTCCGCATCATGTGGGACTGGATAATTTTGAACTACGTCGTATTTTTTGTCGTCGGGCAAGATTCCTTTATCTGTGCATTTATGTCCTAAGAAAGTGACTTCATGCATGAAAAATTAACATTTTTCAGGATGTAACTTCAAGTTTTTCGGAACAACCTATGACTAGTAAGTCATCCATATAAAGAAATGCTTGCGAAGGTTCTAATCTAGAGAAAGCTATAGTCATCATTCTCTGAAAAGAGTTTGGCGCTATTTTTGAACCGAATTTTAATCGCGTGAAGCGGTACGAACCATTGTTTGTTGAAAAAGATGTTATATCCCGTGAACTTTTTTCCAGTTCAATTTGATGAAAACCTGACATTAAGTCAAGGCATGAGAAATATTTTGCTCTACCTAGTTGATCTAAAATATCATCGATTCTAGGGAGTGGAAATTTATCAGACAAGAGTTTTTTATTAATTTGACGATAGTCAATTACTAATCGCCATTTTTTATTTTCCGAATTTGGAAGTGACTTTTTTGGTACTAACAAAAGTGGGCTATTATAAGGTGATACAGAGGGTTCCACTATTTCATCATTGATGAGTTTTTGGACTTATTTTTGAATTTCGTCTTGTTGACTATGAGGATTTCTATAATTTTTTATATATACGGGTTCATCATCAATTAATCTCAGCTTTTGTTTATAAAAATTATTGGTAGTAATCGATTCGGTTTCTAGTCCAAACACATCACTATACTGGGTGCATAATGCTGTAAGTTGTTCATTGAATTGAGGCGGGAAGTTTTTTGCAAGTTGGGATAATACAATTTTTTGTCTGTCTTCTAAGTCCATTTTTAATATTTCGTAGTTTGAAAGTGGTTCATGATGAATGTTTTTGATATAGACTACTTGATCTGTGTTTGTAGTATTTAGTAATCTTATATATGCATTTTTGACTGTTGCTATGGTATTTGCGATATAGATACCAAGCTAAATTTCTTGATTCGGAATTAATACACTGTCTTCTTCTGAATTTATTTCGATTTTTCGGACGACTTGGGATCTTGCTGGCAGAATTAGGGAGTTGTTGCCAGAACTGTATGCTATTGGAACATAAATTGGATGTTTTAGGTTGTTTGGTCTTATTATAAGCCAGTCTTCAGACGGCTTGAAGTCTAATTGACAGTTGTATCTTTTGATAAAATCGATTCCTAGTATTCCATCACATGGAATAGCGAATTGCATATTTACGATATGGAAATCATGTTGAACTTAGAAGTTTGAATTTCAATAGAAGTTAAACCTTTTGATTTGGTAACTTCCTGACTTATACCCTGTATGTTTATGATGTGATTATCTTGAATGTTTTGAAAATTATCAGAATTTTCCTTCAATAAGGATATTTCCGCACCTGTGTCTAGTAAGAGAACTAATTCTTTTCCTGTTGCTACGTTCATTAAAGTGACAAATGTATTTTGACTGAGATTTAGAGTGTGAATTTTGATGTTGTTTACTGTCGTGTATCTAAAGGTGGTTGGGAGTTTCCCGAATTTGTTTGTGCTACTCTAACATTGTTATTGTGGTTGTTGTTGTTTCCCCCACGGCTGTTTCCACCGCTGGTGTTTCCACCACGGTTGTTGTTTCTGTAATAATTGTTATTTTGGTTATTGTTATTTCTGTTATAACCATTGTTTTGATTATATCCGTTATTCTGATAATATCTGGTATTGTTATAATTACCTCGATTATTACCTCGTCCGCGATTTCCACCGCGCTGCGGGTAATTTTTGTAATATAGGACAGTGTTTGGCTGTCCGGTTGCTTCTGTGCAACTGTTTACAAATTTGGATATGGCCTCATTCATTGTATTGAAGGTACCAGCTTGCATGATAGTTTTCACCTTATCGATTGTGCAATTTTTAGTCATTGCTTTCGCTGCATGCCGAGTGGGATAACATCTGGCTAACTCTAGGGATAAGCCATCTGTTATAAATGCACCTTCTAAGGATTTCGTAATCTGCTCAACCTCTTGTGTGTACTGGTTGGCAGTTTTATTGCGTTTGTTGTAGGCTCATCAGTTTTGCTGACAACACTTCCACAGTTTAGCCTTTGACGTTGTTTTTTAATCTGGAAATGACTTCAGCTATTGTTGTTTTATTTCCGATTAAATTTCTGGCGACACCTTTAGCTTTGTTTTTATAATGGAAACTGCTAATTGTTCGTGTTCGCCTTTTATTGATTCTATTATTTCTAATGCATCCATAAAACTTGTTAAGTTTTCAGCTTTACCATCGAAAACTGGTATAAGCTTGGATGCTGTATTAATGAAATCAATATTATATTGTGCCATTGTGATATTGTTTGTTATTTTAATTTCTATTATGCTTGAACTATCATCAGAATCTGTAGAATTATCCAAATCTGACATTAAAACAGCTGGAATAGTAAGATTATTTAAATCTTGCTCTTCTATTTTAGGATTTGTTTCTGTAAGGTCTTCTGATTCTATTTGGTCAATGTCAGTTTGTTTTGTTGATTCCGATTCATCACCAGTTTCAACTGCTAGGGAAGTGTTAAGTATAGTCGGTACTGATATGTCCAACTTAAACTTTTGTTTAATTGATATTAAATTAGATCGTAGTCTGATCAAAAATTTGATACTTGGGACCAATGATCTTGATTTAATTTTTCCCTCTGGCCATATATTAGTATTCGTGCTTCATTAAAGCATTTTACTACCTGTTTTGAGTAAGTGACTTATATGATTTGTCAAAGTCAACTTTTATGTCATTTATCTGCTTATATAATTCATTCCAATACATTATATTGTGGAGATGAATTATTTCTTAAAGACCATCATTACTATTGTTCTACCTAGTATTGGGTGTTCGTCTACTACTGATCTAACCTGTACCCCTGGGATGGTGGATAGGACAATTCCCTTTTGGATGCTTGTGCAATGAATTAGTGGAGAGCCATCTAAATTAAATGTTTCAATATATAAATTTTCTAATTCATAAATGCTTACTGAAGTTGGTGCAACTAATTGCAGAATTCTTTCTTTAAAATGAATGTCCCTATCATATGTGTCTCTAATTGCTTTTAGAGTATCCATTTTTAATTAATTTATTTTTATTTATTTATTTTTATTTTATTCCATTTTCTTTAATTTTTAAAATTTTAATACAGCAATATGTTTATATTAATGTTGTTTGTGCCAAAATTTTTAAATTTTGTCCAGATCATTTGCCTGGCTCATATATTTTTTCTTAAGACATTTATTATGCAATTTATAAAGTTCATAGAAACAGTTTGCGCACATTATAACAACAATTATTATTAGCAATGTATGAATTAATTCTAAGTCAATGGTGTTTGACTCTACCTTATTAATAACATTTGCAGTGGAATCCACTGTTTTTGTATCTATTAAACCCATCTTTGGGGTTGGTATTCTTAATATATACACTACGCGTCATCAGATTAGCGCCCCCTGAGCATTCTCGTGTAATGTTCAATATTATCCAATCTATCAAGGCTTAAGCCATAAAAATTTTTTTTGACGATACTTTTAATAATATTCTTCAAAATAAGATAAGGTACATAATGATAAGTACAACAATAATATTTTATTTATTAAAAACGAAAATGTATACCAAAAATATGAATTTAATTTTGCGTCATCAGATTAGCGCCCCCTGCTTAAATTTAATGAATTTTCACTTAATGCTTAACAACTAGTAGTGTTTTATGTTTTATCTTATTATTTACTTATTTTCTAATCAAATTAATAGTGGGTGGTCCCGCCCCCATTTTCCAGGACCTCACAGATCCTGCTGGGAAGTGACTCGTACAATTTCTCAATGTATTGTAATGATATTGAGGACCAAGCTTCTTTAATCCCGTCGATGAACTCCAATTTTGTACTATACTGCTTTCCAGACTCGTATACTTTTCTCGAGAGCCATCCCCACACGTTCTCTTTTATATTTAAGTCCGGAGAGTACGGCGGCCACTCCAGGACATCAACGTTTTGGCCCTGTATCCACGATTTTACAGATCGGGCAGTGTGGATTGGAGCGTTGTCGTGTTGAAAACGCCATTTAAGATTTCCAAAAGATTATTATACGCCACGGCGTTCATTTTCGGGGTGAGAAATTGTAACTCATAGGTGCCATAATAGGATATGGCTCCCCATACCATTACGCCACCTACCCGGCTATGTAAACGATCTAAAATATGCTCTTCTTTACGCATGTCATGGAAATAATAATTATAGCCGTCAGGGCCTTCTAAATTAAATTTTTTTTCATCGGAAAAGACTACAAAGCGCCACTCCTTCGACCATGTCATATGCGAGCGAGCAAAATTTAGGCGCATTTCCTTTCGTAACTTATTTAGTTGTGGTTTTTTTTTAGTTTTAGTCTTTTCAAGTGTTCTGCTTTTTTTATGACTCGTAGCTAGCTTCCACACCGCTTTTTTCTTTAATTTTGGTAAAAGAGTCGTGTGAATTAGACGCATGTCTAACTATAGACTGAATGTCTGCTTCGGAAAGAACTCTGTTGTTACCGCCTTTCATATTTTTACCATAGCCTTGTTTATTTTTAAGAAAATTGGCTATAGTTTTCGATGCCTTCCCATTTTTTCAGCAATTTTATGTTAAGATAAGCCACTTTCACTAAAGGCTTCGATCTTAAATTTTTCTTCTAAAGATAGGACAGTTCCGTTACCCATTTTTATTCTCAGTTTATAAACAATAATTGAATAATTGTCACAGCACAAAAAATTTCACAACTGTACGCCAAAAATTACGCGAGATAACTAAATTTGAATTTACAGGCGCTAATCTGATGACGCAAAATCAGTGCAAGCTTTTGCAGCGAAAGTAAAACAAAATAAAGAAAAAATAGATAACGGAATCTCTCACCTAACGGTATTTCTCTCAGAGAGCGACAATTTGTGCACTTTAAGAGCAACAACAAAAATTTTGAAGTTGCGTGCAATAGAAACAGAGATAGATGCAATAAAGTAAAACCAAAAGGGGGGCGCTAATCTGATGACGCGCAGTGTATCTTGGTCTGTCAAATACTTTAGATTTTTGAATTGATTCGTAAATGTTGTTAATGTTATTCATAAACAACTAGTTTGATATGATTAATTTTGATTTGATTTTTTTTTTGTTTTTGACCAATTATTATTATATTTGACATATAATTTTCTGCCTATTTTGTGTATGGTTTTCAGGCCATACTCTCGGGCCACTTTTATGTCGCTCAATTTTTAAATTTGTTTTTATAAAATAAATAAAAAAATATGTATCGCAGTGCAATTAAAAAAATTTTTGCAACGCAGTGCAAAGAAAAAAAAATTATGCGCTCTTGGTAGCGCTGTCGGTTCACTCTTCCTTGGTACCGGTGCTGGCTGCACAGGTGTACTTCATGGTGGGGCACCGGTGCTGGCTACACAGGTGTACTCGCAGAAGGGGGAGTACAGTGGTCCCTCGCAGTCATCCGGGCACGTCTTCTTCAGCTTTGGGATGGCAACTTTTTCTGGAGGAGGCAATGTGTTTTTATTTTTGGCAATATTTGGGATTACAAGGTAGGTGGATGTGTCTGTGGCTGTGGTCTGATTCTTACGTACTGATAGCAAATTTTTTAAGTATTCAACTTCGGCATGTATTTTTACCGAGTCGGTCCACTTTATTGCTTCGTCTTTCTGGCTTTCAATCTTTTTACCACGCCACTTCTTTTGGCACACATCACACTCTACTCACTGCGTTTCTTCTCTTGTTCTTGTAGTGTAAGCTGTTGTTGTTGCCGTTTTTGCTGTTGTTACTGTTGTTGCCTTTGTTGTTGCTGTTGTTGCCTTTGTTGTTGCTGTTGTTGCCTTTGTTGCTGTTGTCGCCTTTGTTGCTGTCTTCTTATTTTTTGAAGTCCAGATCCAGGTCCAGATCCTTTTGGACCAAAGTCACAGTCGCCATGTTGTGTGAAACGCCTTGTATTGGTAGTTTTAATATTCTTTATTCATATAGTGAGAACGCATCTTTTGGTAGTTATACCCGTTACTTGTAGAGTAAAAGGGTATACTAGATTCGTTGGAAAGTATGTAACAGGCAGAAGGAAGCGTTTCCGACCCCATAAAGTATATATATTCGTGATCAGGATCACTAGCCGAGTCGATCTAGCAATGTCCGTCTGTCTGTCCGTTCGGATAAACGCTGAGATCTCGGAAACTATAAGAGCTAGGCTATTGAGATTTGGCGTGCAGATTCCTGAGCTTCTTACGCAGCGCAAATTTTTCAGTAGAGTGCCACGCCCACTCTAACGCCCACAAACCGCCCAAAACTTTGGCTCCTACAGTTTTGATGGTAGATAGAAAATTTTAACTGAAATGTATTAGTCTTGTCAATACCTATCGATTGAACAATTTTGCTACGCCCACTCTAACGCCCACAAACCTCCCAGACAATGCGAAATGTTTTTACGCGTGTATGTGTGTGTATGTAAGTAGTTGCCGGCCGAACTTAGCGGCAAAGAAAAAAGCCCTGCCGGCGCTCAGAGAGAGCAAAGTGCGCGGCTAACTTATTCTATTGAATAATGAACCCTTTATCCATTTGTCCCATTGACGGGCAAAAACCTTTAAAGATCTGTACATCTTTTTTTTATCTCTTTCAATGAATATGTATTAGCTTAAAAAATACCTATAGATTGTCCCAAAAAAACTTTTCCGTTTTCAGTCCAATGCTCTCAAACCAAAGTAGTTAGGACAAGCCTTGACACTAGAGCCAGAAAACGACATACATACATACATATGTATACATGCATGTGTGTGGGTGTAAAAAATTACAATCTAATATCCGCGGCAAATAGAATTCTTTCAAACAAAGCTATTCAACCAAATATTTTGAAGTACAGAATGTGCCTTAAAATTGTGTATGTTTAGCAAGCATACATAAATATAAATGTTATTTGTCTATTTTATGTGTTGCTTTCTCATTCTTGGCGCTGGCTGAAACAAAAGCAGAGCCGAGAAATGAGGGCAAGGGAGAGAGAACAAAGTGCGCGGCTAACTTATCTTATCTGAGAAACAGGTATCTGATAGTCGAGGTACTCGACTATAGCGTTCTTCCTTGTTTTAATATTCTTTATTTTGTATTTGGTATTTGTATTTAGGAGCAGCGTTAATGCCGCTTCCAACGTCAAGTTGTTTCTGATTTTACAATTTGCCTTAGGATCTAAGTAAGCCAAAGTCTTGTAGCTGCGCTGCCTACAGTTGGGCGGCAGAGAGACGGAGCGCGAGGGTATATGTATGTACTTGAGTTTGGCTGAGCGGCCGGCGTATGCAACAGAATGGTGACACTTGCACTTTCTGTGAGCGCACCGATCGACTCATGTTTCGGCCACTTAGGTTTTTGACCGAGCCTTTGTTTATATAAACACTGCAACAAAGTGTTACAGTGTGTTTGATTCAAGTACTCTTGGTACAGTAGATATTCGATATAAGTGCATACTACAATGGATCGCATGATGGAAATGAAAATGAGGTGGATGTTGCGGATAGGTCATGGTTCGAAGATTCGGACTCAAATTTAAAAATCGAGAACACTTTGACAAATAATGATCCCGTGCATCGCAAAATAAACATATCAAATGATTTGAGTTAGTAGCAGAAGCAAAAAGTGTGTTTTGGTTATATTTGTGTAAGTTTTTTCCCCACCTGCTGGCCTGGTGTTTGAGTTACCAAGGTTTGATCCAAGTTTTCCATCATCCTGCACCTCTTTTCCAAAAACGACTCCATAGCACATCAGGTAGACAGCTCAGTGATTGACAAATCCTCTTTCCATTTTTCCCCCGTCCTCTGATCCAGTTACCGAGTGACGATGTGAATTAAAAGTCCATCCAAAATTTGTTGCGTATTGGCCAGGGTTCGAATTGCTCGCAGATGCGAATTCATGCAAACACTCAGCTCCCGAAGACCCTTCGAAGATCCCTTTTCGACACCCTTTAAACCGAATATTGCCTGAACGTGTGCCTGAAAGTGTAAAACATTATTATAAAATCGATTAACCAGCAAATTCATAGCCTTTTATAATTAGCATTCGAGGGTTCAAGCGAGCGTATGGTTTCCAGAGCCACGCCGCCCAAACTCGAACGCAAATATTGTAATTTTTCAATGTCGCTTAGCTCATCATCATTTCCGATGACCGTAGTGAAAGTCGCAAGGAAATCCGGCCACTCAGAGTAGGATCCATAAAAACGAGCAATTTCCAAATTTGGCAACCAAGGCTTCCTAGATCGAAAAGAAAGATCCGCATTATTAGTGATGGCAATAGATGTTGAATTTGCAGCGGTTGAAGCCGGCAATTGTGACTTTCGATGAGCAGTCAAGCCTCGGCTTAGTTTCGCCTTCACATCCATGAAAACCTCGGCAAATTCAATCCGATGGTCGCTCGAGATCTCTGCAAAATCCAGTCTTTCCAACGATGTCTGCGCAGAATCAAATGCCTGGTTTAAGGAATTGATCCATTCCATTCGCGCAAGCAAATCAGCTTTGTCAAACTGATTAACCGCATCAGCGTTTAAATAACATTTCATCGAGCTCATTTGCCGCAAAATAGATTGGGCTTTGACTCGGTAGTAGTCGACGTCACTTGTAGATTCATTTTGAGCCCGAACCGAGTTTTCCCTATCAGACATTTTTCAATCACGAGAAAAAGAATGAAAGAAAATAAAATGTCCGACCGCGTTAGAGGCACGAAACACCGTATACCTTTTACCGCGAAAATGTGGAGGTTAACAAGCGTCGCCGAGATGCAAAGGAACCTTTAACTCCGTTGTTGTTGTTCTTGCCGATACATTTCCTGCCTAGCAACAGCGGATATATGTAATTGGCAAACGAATATATGTATGGCTATATGTACATATATACATATATGTTATGCGCTATTAACAAAGATTAAATGCGATTCACTTTGTTAAGAATTATTTGCACAACACAGTTTTGGTGTTTTTACAAAGCGCAAAATGTACAAAAAATCAAACGGCCGGCAGTGCACTTTTATATGCACATATGTATGTATGTTCGTGTGTTTGTGACCGAATGCACGATAACGACAGCGTAACAAAGCGTTTGTTTAAACTTGTTAAACAATCGCGAGGCCGAGATGCAGACTCCGATAAAAACTATATTACGTAGCGGTCACCAAATGTTTATGGGGAAGACATCAAATATGCCACCCATATATTTATATATATAATATATTAAAATGTATAGCGTTATTCGGAGCGGCAGACGGACTGTGTAAACTTCAAGAACTTCATATAGACATTTACAGGCTTACAAAGTAGTTGCTGAATAGATAAGCGACAGCTTTAGTGGTATAAGAAAAAAGGCGACAAAGATAAGCAGAGAGCGCTGCAGGTGTCGTCGTACACCTATGCGCGCATGACTAGGAGCTGTCGATCTGCTCCGAACAGACGCAATGGAAAATTTTCAACATACATATACATGCTCCTTGGGCAGAAGCCTTAAGATTTCAGTCAGGAGTGATCCTAGGGGCGACGACTGAGGTGCGAGTTGATCTTCTGTCGAGGGTGCTCTCCGGGGCAGTCGCCTTTGGACTTCTGGCCGTGGGGTGCTCCTCGAGCCGCGGGCCGTTGAACAAAATGGCGAGAAACTGCTGCGATCCTTGGTGAAGAGTGGCTGCGGCTCCGATCGGGATGCTGTTGAAAGTGCTCCTTTTGGCAAGTGCTGCCGGGCCAAACTTTGAAAAATTGCCGCGACTCAAGCGCTGAGCGAAAACTAGTTTGACGAAGATGTGGGAAAGTCTTACTGTTTGACTCACGATTCCACGAACCACTTAGTGATTCAGTGAACACTCGAAGGTTATTCAAAGAAGAACGTGCAGTGTGGCAAACTTCATAAAAATTCAAACTTCAAATAAACTCAAACTTCATCGATATGTGTAACGCCGCCTGTAGTGACTAACAGAAAGCTCAGCCTCAAAGTATGCTACGTTTAACGTGATGAACCAAGCCTTGCCACCCAGCCTTAATCTTGGTTGCCGTAGGTCAAACAGCTGATTCAGGGTTGCACTGCGTCGGTATTTTTCCGGAAATACTAAGCAGCTGATGATGCAGCTTTCCAGTGCATACTTTGAGGCTGAGCTTTCTGTTAGTAACTAGAGGCGCCGTTACACATATCGATGAAGTTTGAGTTTATTTGAAGTTTGAATTTTTATGAAGTTTGCCATTAACTAACATGAAGTAAGGAGCGATATAATGAAATAAACCGGTGTTAATTCGAATTGACTGTCTCATTCCGTAAGCCTCCCTAACTCTGTCTACAAGTTTTATTGTGTTGAGATGGTGCTGTTTAGAAAGTAATCGACCCCCTTGCATCTTCCCTGAGCTAGCCGATTACGTAGGGATCACAAAATTCTTGTTACAAATTTCAATTTATGTTTAAAAACAAGCCGTCGACATTATATGTTTTTATGTACTTTTATTGGGCGTAAAAAGTTTACAGGTGTTAAAGGTATTATGTATAAAATTAGTAGACAAATTCGTGTTCTGTAGAATGTATATCTTTCTTTTACCGGTAGGATTTTTATGAATCCGAATTAACACACCAATTGTATGCGTTGTTAAACATAATCTGCCAAGGACTCTCAGCCTGTTTGGGGGAAACTTCGAAAGAAGGTGGAACATATGGCCACTGGTTCATAGCCGAGCAACGCTCTGGGTGCGGCATTAAACCCAAATGACGTCCATCAGTCGAGCAAAGTCCAGCAATTCCCCTAGGGCTGCCGTTCGGATTAAGTGGATAAAGTTCAGTGGGCTCGCCTGTATCATCAACATATTGCAGTGTCACCAACTCAGCCGACTGCAGTACGCTTATGAGCTTCTCCTCTCGGAATGCAAAACGACCTTCTCCGTGAGCCACCCAACAGCCTAGAATTAGATCTTTCATGCTTCGGAGCATGACAGAGCGATTCGATGGAATTTTCACTGTTGCCCAGCGGCACTCGAATCGCTCTGATCGGTTGTGGAGTAGGGCCACATCGGGATCTACACCAACCTCGCTGCCTGGACATCCTACAAATCCAATAAGAGTCATCAGTTGGCAACCATTGCAAATGCCCAACGAG